TGAGGAGGAGTGATATCTAGGATTAACTTCCTGCTCCTCAATCCCTATTAGTACCTTCTATTCACTTTTATCTGCTGTCCTCCTCCCCCTTCTTGGAACACCACTGAACTTTCAGCCCTCAAAGCCACAACTCTCCAAAGCTGCTTTACCCTTCTCAGCAACCAACATCCCTACTTACTTCTGGAACATCTTCTGTCATCATTGCAAAACTGAATTTTGCCATCATCAAGACAAAATTAGTTACCTTATTTCTTGTTCTTGGAATTGCAAAAATGTAATGCCAACTCTCCAAGAGAAATTCTTTTCATTACAGAAAGTTGAGCATGTAATCACTAGAGCTAGTATTTACTTATTCAGTCATTTATTTCATTAATATTGAGATTACTATGCCATTGTTTGAATCTAAAATCAAAGATTTTAAGATACATTATGAAATATTATGAGGCTTAATTCAATTCTGAAAGCAAGAAACTCCATGAAGTGTGGTGGTGAGGCAACAGTTAGGACACATCATTTTAAATACTAAAAGAAAGAGGAAAAAAATCAGAAGGATCCATACACATAAAATCAGGTATCATCATATTAAGCCATATTATTTAACATTTCTTTTTCAACACTTTATGAATACAAGCAAATTTTTACATGTATGAGGTGCAATTTTTGAGATTCATATTATGTTCAGTCCTAAATTAAAAGTACATCAAAATCACTGTACAATTCTACTTAATTCAAAGGCAAAATTGTATGATGAATCTAGCATTAACATAAAGTTTTAATTCTTATATACGTAAAGTATTTTAAAGTTTTGAAGCATCATCTCCAAAAACAAGGAGACAGACACAACGAAATATGCATACTATTTTATAGGAATGTGTGTGATATATGGGTCCAATATGTAACAAAAAAAAAAAAAAAAAAAAAAAAACCAACAGGCAATATTAATCAGAATAAAAATAAACTCATCCCTCAGAATTGGGAGGGAAGAAACTAGCCCAAAATCTCAAGTTTACCTTTTCCTGTCTTTACTTAACTGCACTTAAAATCTCTTCCTCATAATTTGAAGCTTTATAATTTATTGTGACATCTGCACAGGTACTCAAATGAAAAATTCCCCAAACATCAAGAGTTACAGAAATAAATAAATGAAACAACATCTAATACCAGCAATGACTTTACTTAGGTTACCAGGCCATTTCATCCCACTAGGTGTTACTGCATGACCTAGTGAAGTTTCTTTGGATCATTATGTACTGATCTGTCAATGTTTTCTTCAGTATAAACTTCCTCTCTTACATCATTTAAACAGGGAGTCTATCTGACCTGCTTCTGAATTATATTTTTGTGTGTAAAAAATGAAATTATAGTATTAAGCTAATTCATTTTTAATCATGACTTTTTGCAACAACAGGAATATTGTTAAATAAAATAAGCACATTGAAGTCACTTTTTCAATAAAAATTTAAAAGACATTCCCTAAAAAAAGGCGGAACAGAAACAAAGGATTCCAAAAGAAAACATTTTTGGTGCTTTCAAAACAGCTATAGATTTGTTAAGTTAGAAGAATAGATGACAGTTGGCAAAAGAAAAAAGAATCTATTTCAAAAAAAAGATCGCACCACACCAACTATATTGTTCTTTAAGAAAACAGCCTCCTTAACTTCCAGAAAGGGTCGATGATGGGAAAAAGTATGTATAACCGCAACTAGAATTTTCCAGCAGCAATGCAGTATTACTTCAAATGCGACTGTGTGGTAAATCAAAGAAATAGCAGGGGAAAAGTATGATCCAGTTCTTAGTGAATCACCAAAAACAGTTGTCTGTAGATAGATCAAACATCAGAAATCTTATCAGCTAAACAATCTGTCCAAAGAATTACGTTCCTACTCATAGCACTAGAACCCAGGCACTATTCTCCCATCTCAAATTAAATGTTCCCTCTCTGATTTGCAAATAAGAGAATATCACCTACTAAAGAGGAGTATTCATTTCGCTATTGATGTTTTTTCACTATATTACAAATTGGGGTTTGGTAGTTTTAAAATGCAGCATTTATTCATTTCTACAACATATTGCAACGGGGCTGCAGCAAAATTTTAGATTTATAGGATTAAAATGGCCACTAAATCTGCATTATAGTCAAAAACATGTATTACCTACTAGCACTAAATGTCTTGAAAATATGCAGCACCTCACATTTAGAGAAGAGCTGAGGTGTTAAGAGTTGAGATGAATATATATATGACTGTGATCAAAAAAGGGAAAAAAAATAAGACTGACATACCAACAAAAAAAAAAAAAAATCAGACATACATTTGCACCCGTTTCCTTCCTGTCTAAATAAGCAAGGTATTATAAGGCTAAAATTGCATTTATGCAACTTTATGTTTGCAACACTGCACACAAGTCAAGAAAACTAAAATTACACTTCCCACAGCAATTTTAACTCAGCTACATTTTGTATGCAAAAAAGTTAGAATTACTACAAACACTGAA